ACCGTATCCGCGCACAGGTCACGGTCGAGGGACGACCACTCACCGCCACCTTGGATACGGGGGCCTCGCATAGCTTTATAAGCGAGCGCCTGGCAAGGGCACTCCACGACGGGAAGAACCATCGTGCCGTGCGAACGCGGGTGAAGTTAGCAGACGGAACCGGCAGGGAGCTCACGCAGGCCCTGCGAATCACGATCCAGCTGGGAAAGGCTCGGGTCAGCGTCTCCGCCCTCATCATGGCGGATGTGCTGGACGACCTTCTACTCGGGATGGATTTCCTGTGTTACGGAGGAGCCACACTACAGTGTGGGGGCTTGACCCTCCAACTCGAGCCACCCATTCCTGACCAACCCACGAGGACCAGCTGGCCGACACCAACCGGGAGCAAACAAGCCGCTCCACGAGCGCACATCGAAGCCGCCACCCAGGCGCACTCACCGGCCGCCGCAACACAGGCGCAGCCCCAAGCCGCCACCCAGGCGCACCCCGAAGCCGCCATCCAGGCGCAAACACAAGCCGCCCCACGGGCGCACAAACGTGCCGCCACGCCGGCGTACACACCCGGCACCCAGGCGCACATCGAAGCCGCCACGCAGGCGCATTCCTCAGCCGCCACCCAGGCGCAAACACAAGCCGCCCCACGGGCGCACAAACGTGCCACCACGCCGGCGCATACACCCGGCATCCAGGTGCACTCCAAAGCCGCCACACAGGCGCACATCGAAGCCGCCACCCAGGCGCACTCCAAAGCCGCTCCACGAGCGCAAAAACAAGCCGCCACTCAGGCGCAGGTTCAAGCCGCTCCACGAGCGCAAAAACAAGCCGCCACACAGGTGCACCCCGAAGCCGCCACCCAGGCGCACTCCAAAGCCGCTCCACGAGCGCACATCGACGCCGCCACACGGGCGCACTCCAAAGCCGCCACACGGGCGCACACCGAAGCCGCCACCAAGGCGCAAACACAAGCCGCCACACGGGCGCACACTGAAGCCGCCACACGGGCGCAACCCCAAGCCGCCACACGGGCGCAAACACCAGCCGCCCCACGGGCACACGCATCAGCCGTCGCAACGCAGGCGCACCCCTCAGCCGCCACGCAGGCGCAAACTCAAGCCGCCACACCGGCGCAAACACAAGCCGCCCCACGGACGACGGCACAAGCCGCCACACAGGCGCACCCTCGGGCAGACTCATCAGCCACCCAGGGGCACTCACCGCAACGCCCTGACGCGCCACGCAGCGCCAGGCACCCCAACGTGCGCACGGTCCCAAGCTGGGCCGGAGCGCTACCTCCGCCTGATCCAGTAGCGGTTCAGCGAAACCCATTTCGCAAAGGGGCCAAGAGGGTCCGCTTCAGCGATTTGGAACCACCACCTCCATCCTGCGGTATCGCTGACGCTGACTACGACATCGAGGAGGAACCGAGAGCCAGAGGCCACGAGGACAACTACCCGGAGCCCTGGATCAGGGAGTTTCTCGAACGAAAACTGTCCCGCTTCAACAGCATCGCCAACGTCTCCCACATCGCCGAGCACAAGATCGTGATGCGCCACGATCGCCCTATTAAGCAACGCTATCATCCACGGAATCCCGCGATGAGGGCCGTCATCGACCAACAGATCGACGAGCTTATCCGCGATGGACGCATAGAGCCTTCCAAGAGCCCCCATAGCGCGCCGATAGTCATCGCGGCAAAGAAGAATGGAGAGGCCAGGATGTGCATCGACTACAGACAGCTAAACGAGAACTCGATCCCCGACGCTTATCCGCTGCCGCGGATCCACCACATCTTGGAGCGGCTGCGAAACGCCCGCTATATATCGACGTTGGACCTGAAGAACGGGTACTGGCAGATCCCAGTCGCCCCGGACAGCCGCGAATGCACCGCATTCACCGTCCCGGGCCGCGGACTATTTCACTGGAAGGTGATGCCTTTCGGGCTTCACTCGGCGCCGGCCACATTCCAACGGGCGCTGGACACCGTCATCGGCCCCGACATGGAACCACACGCTTTCGCCTACTTGGACGACATCATCGTCGTCGGCGCCACTCTCTCCGAGCACGTGCGGAATCTACGCGAGGTATTTCGACGGCTTCGAGAGGCCAATCTCCGCCTCAACCGAGACAAGTGCCAGTTTTTCCAGCGGAGCATAAAATATCTTGGCCATGTAATCAGCGAGGCCGGGATACAGACCGACCCCGACAAGGTCGCTGCCATCCGGGAACTGACCCCACCCACGAACCTGAAGGAGCTTCGCCGATGCCTCGGCATAGCGTCTTGGTACAGACGCTTTGTGCCAAACTTCGCGGACGTGGTCGAACCAATGACCTCGCTACTCAAGAAGGATCAAAGCTGGGGATGGACCGAGAAGCAGAAACAGGCGTTCCAGAAGTTGAAGGACCTGCTCACAGAGGCACCAATTCTGGCGTGCCCAGATTTCGAAGAGAAATTTGTACTCCAAACCGACGCAAGCGAATACGGCGTGGGAGCCGTACTCACCCAGACTATCGACCAACAGGAGCGCGTAATCGCTTACGCTAGCCGCCGGCTAAACACCGCCGAGCGCAACTATTCTGTTACGGAAAAGGAATGCCTCGCTATAGTATGGGCCATCCGTAAGATGCGCTGCTATCTCGAAGGATACCGTTTCGAGGTGCTGACCGACCACCACTCGCTAAAGTGGTTGAACTCCATCGACAACCCCACGGGCAGGATCGCTCGGTGGGCATTGGTGTTGCAGCAGTTCCAGTATGACGTGACATACCGACGCGGAACCCAGAATCTGGTCGCTGATGCACTATCGCGCCAGCCACTGGCCACCATGCAGCAGGCACAAGTTCAGGACATCAACTGTAAGTGGATCACGAAAATGCTACACAGGACCCGACAGGAGCCGGCCAAGTATCCAGACTTTCGAGAGGAGAACGGGCAACTTTACAGACGCATCGGGCTGCGCCCGGAGGATGAGGAATACACCCCCTGGAAACTATGCGTGGGCACTAACGACCGCGCAAGAGTGCTGACGGAATGCCACGACCACCCCACCGCAGGCCACCTGGGCGTGCGGAAGACAAGCACACGAGTCGCCCAGAAGTACTACTGGCCCGGATTATTTCGAGAAGTGGCCAAATACGTACGCCGATGCACAAGCTGTCAGAAGTTTAAGGTAAGCCAAGAAAAACCGGCCGGGAAAATGTTCACCCGCCAGGTCGACGAACCTTTCCACATACTATGTGCGGACTTCGTTGGACCCCTCCCACGATCCAAGCTAGGGAACACAGTCCTATTGGTGTTCCTCGACTCATTCAGCAAGTGGGTGGAACTCGTCCCACTGCGACGAGCCACGGTACCATATCTCGAACGAGCGTTTAGAGAACGGATCCTGAGTCGATTCGGAGTCCCGAAGACTCTGGTCTGTGACAACGGAACTCAGTTCACCAGCCGGGATTTCCGGACATTTTGCAAATCACTAGGAATGGAACTGCAGTATACTGCGCCCTACACGCCCCGTCAAAATCCTACGGAGAGGGCCAACAGGACCGTGAAAACCATGATCGCGCAATACCTGGGCGACGCGCCGCAGAACACCTGGGATCAACTCCTGCCAGAAATCTCGCTGGCCGTCAACGGTAGCGTGTCGGACACAACGGGATTCAGCCCCGCCTTTCTGGTACAAGGCCGGGAACCACGCCTACCCAATGCACTTTACGACGAAGTCACCCCGGGACGAGGAACCGCCCTGATTCCCCCAGCGGAGAGGAGCGAGCAGCTGCACAGCATATTTAAAGTGGCCCGCGACAACGCCGAACGTGCCACGGCCGAGCAAGGCCGGCACTACAATTTACGACGACGGGAGTGGAAGCCACCATTGGGCTCCCTCGTTCTCGCCCGCCATCATGTGCTATCAAACGCCGCCGAGGGCTTCGCGGCAACTGGCTGCGAAATATGAAGGCCCGTTCCGAGTGATCAAGTTCCTCTCGCCGAACATCGTCCGGCTGCAAGATATCGGGAGCCGCCGTCGCCGCACGGCCAGCATAAACAACCTAAAAGCATATCACCAAAGCAACGCGGACGACGACGAACATCAGAACGAGGATAGCCTCAGCATCACCGCAGCCCATGACGACCACGACGACCACGACGCCCGTGATCAGTCCAGAAGCCTCCACTCTGGCATCGGCTCTGATCCTAAGGAGCTATAGGAGCGCAGGAGCTTAGGATAGGCGCCACCCTCAAGCAGGCTAAAAGAGGGGTGGACTCTACTAATACGTTTGTTTATTTTCATAGATCCCAAATATTCGTTATTGGAATTGCCAGATCGACCGAAAAGCAACTTCGATACGTACGGGCAGCGCGCTATCGGATATCGATAAAGATAGCGCGATCTTCGCTCTGCAGACCCACGCGTTCAAACCTACAAATTGTGAGACGCAAAAGCTAAAAACATGCCGAGAGATAGGAACACGAATTCGCAGCGCCGCCATTCGCGCCATTCAGAGGACGAACCACGTCGCCGCCATCGCCACCATCGCCACCGCCGCGATCGCCCGGCTAATCAGGACCCAGGTGAGCGCCCAAACACCGCGGCTTCCGCCACGACGATGCCCGCATTAGAGGGACTGCACCTGGCAGCCAACGCCACCAGCCCCAGGCGCAACTCGCGGCCACCGACGCCGACAAGCACGGTCGCCGCCGACACGGGGCGCCCACCGCGTCCGCCATCGGCCGCGCCCGATGCCACCGGATCCACCCCACCAGCGACCACCGCCGACAGCGACGCCCAGCCGTCGCCCGCGATCAGCCCCACATGGTGCGAAGGGCTGACCTACGAGGACGTGGTGGCCTCTATTTTTGAGGCAGAAGAAGAGCCGGACCCAGCCATCCCCTCGGTCCCCGCCTCGCCGACCCCCGTGGCCCGCTGGGCGCAATTTATGAGGAGGTCTCCGATGCTGAGGTGGTGACTCTCAGCTCGGACGACGACGAGCCACGGGGCGCGGCGATGGACACAGTTGTCCTTCTCGACGAGGAGGAGACCGTGCCGTGGGTACCGCCCCACCGAGAAACACCACCGCCCTCATACGAGGAGCTTTTCGGGCCGGGCCCGTACCCGGAGCCCGACCCTCCAGCATCAGCCGGGGTCAGCACCGCTGCCACCATGGCGGTGCGGGCCACCGGCGCCGCTGCCACGGGCACACCCAGGCCCGCACCCAGTGCCACCGACGCCAAGGAGCAGGCCACGCCCACGCTCACCGCCGCCGACGACACCGCCGACGCGGCAACCGTCCGGGCAGGAGCCAGCACCCCCACGGGGGATGACTTGCTCGCGCTCCTGCTGGGGAAGCTGGCCGCGTCCCCCGACGGACCCACCACGTCCGCCGCATCCCAGCAGCGGGAGGCAGTCCGGGCCGCGGTCCGAACAATAATGGCCACGATCCCCACGGCGGAAGCCACTGCTCAACCCGACGCAGCCGCTGGATCGACCGCCGGCATCCCACCGGCCGCCACTGCTCCACCCGACGCAGCCGCCGGATCGGCCGCCGGCATCCCACCGGCCGCCACTGCTCAATCCGACGCAGCCGCCGGATCGGCCGCCGGCATCCCGCCGGCCGCCACTGTTCAACCCGACGCAGCCGCCGGATCGGCCGCCGGCATCCCGCCGGCCGCCATGGCTCAACTAGACGCCGCCACCCAAGCGGCCGCCCAACCGGACGCCGCCGCCACGGCGCGCGCCCCGACGCCGCCTGACGGCACCGCGGCCACTGCAGCCGTAGCTGCCGTCCTGCCGTCCAGGCCCGTGCGGCGGGTGAGGCCTATGCCGGCCACCGACCAGCAGCGCTGGCGTGGCCGCCAGCCTTTGGCCAACCCCGAAGGCGAACCAGTCGGCCGCCCAGGCATCCTCCGCCGACCGGCCCCATGGCCCATGGAGGAGGCCAGTACTGACGAGGAATTAGGAGGAGGACGCCGACTCGGAGGAGGAGCTTCCCCCGGTGGATCCCCCTGCCTCCAAACGCCCAGGTCCGCGCCCTCGACGGATGGGTTACCGAAGACGGGTGGGTACCCATCGCCCTCCTGCGTAGTATAGACGGGCATCTGCGCCAGCCGAGACGCCGGGAGGTGCGCTACCTGGAGGAGGTAGCCGGCATCCGCTATCGCATCCAGATCTCGACCAGCGGCCGGGTAAAGGTCTTCCCGCACCCCCGAGGAAGGGATGGGGTGTGAGGTAACCCTCACAAGGGCCCCCCCTCCCCCTCATGTACATAGTAGTTAGGCGTAATTTATAAGGTAGAGTATAAGGTAGAACTATAAGGTTTAGGGTAAGGACGACCAAGACCCACGGAGGGCACCCCTTTTGTAATATTAAGGCCCATGAAGGGCATCCCGCTTTCCCTCAGTTAGACCCCGAGGGGACAATCACTTTTGAGTTGGGGTGTGGTGCGCCCCAGTACGGGCCACATCCCCGGCCACGCCGAGGATCACATCATCAACACGCAAAACCACATCAGCAACACGCAAAACCACATTCAGCAACACGCGCATCAGCAACACGCACATCAGCAACACGCACATCAGCAACATCCACGTCAGCAACATCCACGTCAGCAACATCCACGTCAGCAACATCCACAACCACGCCAGCAACATCTCCATCTCTCCAAACTTGAGCCCTCGGCAGAACCGACGGCCGGGTCCGGAGAGACACGGAAAAGAAGAGGAACGCACGATCGCGTAAGAGACGCGGGTGCGGGAGGCGGCAGACGAAAGAGGACGCCTATAGCCTGCACGAAAGCAGCGTAAGGGCCGCTGCCGCAGTCGACGGCAGCAGCGAGGGCTTCGAGCAGCCTTCGCTGTTCGCCGATCGTGGAGTTAGATTTTGACCATCGGAGTGAACGGAGTTAGTTTTTGACCATCAGAGTGGACGGTTGGATTTTGGCAAGCAGAGTGAACGGACGTGAGTGGATGGCGACAAGGATAAAAGGACACGTGGACATGGAGTCCCTCCGATAAGACGGGTGAGCCGGCCGCGGGCCAGCCCTACGGGGTGGCCAGCACGTGCGCAGGGAACTAGGGACCCTCAGGCATTAAGGAATTATGAATAAAGTTGTAAGAAAACCACAATTAACCATAGTCTTCTCTCTCCCAAGTCCTCCTTCCCCTTTCCCCTCCATACCTATGAGCACCGGCCGTCGGGTGACGGGGCCGGCATGCTGACTCCCGGGTGACGGGAGCAGCCGCTCAAATCCCGTATCTAGGAGCACCGGCCGTCGGGTGACGGGGCCGGCATGCTGACCCCCGGGTGACGGGGGCAGCCGCTCATAACCTGTACTGAGGAGCACCGATCCACGGATGACGGGATCGGTCGCTCAAAACCCCCCTCCCTCGTAGTTCGAGCACCGGCCGTCGGGTGACGGGGCCGGCATACTGATCCACGGGTGACGGGATCAGTCGCTCACTACATCCTTTCCTTGAGCACCAGCACCCGGGTGACGGGGCTGGCAAGTCGACTCCCGGGTGACGGGATCGACGGCTCGTAACCCTCCGCCCCCTAACAGGGCTCCGGCACCCGGTTGACGGGGCCGGATAAGCCGATCCACGGGTGACGGGATCGGTCGCCCTGGGCCTGCCCTGGTCCGCCGGCCGCCCGGGTGACGGGCCGACGGCATAACCACGGCACGCAACCCAAACTTTCCCCCTCAAACCCACGCCCAATTAGGGAACCCGCCTCTTTGTCCTGTCTGTCTCCGTAAATATAAATTATTTCTGTAGGGGACCCTGGATAGACTGAGTATTTATCCTGGCCCGTGATTAGCATCCTTACAACCTTAAGTGAAATGCTTTAATATTTTTACAATTTTTCTTTTGTTCAAAATTTGAATTTATGTAAATTTTTCGCTATTTGTATATGTAGATCTAGTTGGGTTTTACTGGGTTTCCCCAACTCTTTGCAGCGAATGCTGGATCTAATTGTAATCCCCAGAAATTAAGAAAGAAACAAGAAATTAAAAGATAAGCACAATCTCGTATGTCAAATTTTTGTTTTTTGCTCAATGTAACTTTTGAGGTGGCGTGTTGTAAAATATGAATATACATATATAAGGAAAAGTCACATTGATGCACATGCATTCATTTGATGCTTGTATGTGTGAGTGCGATGAAGGAGCCCTGCAGTTCTGGCTGTTCACAAGTGAATTTCGGCAATTGCCAATCATGTGTGTAGGAAAGGGAAACGGATATTCCTAAGTTTCCCTCTCTTCCTCACTCTTATAATACGATTTCGTTACTTGCACCCGACGGCGACCCGACTCCAAATTTGCCTTCTATTCTTTCGTTTTTCTTATTGCACTGTTGTCATTCTCCGTTAGAAACAAAAAATTATGTGGATGTGATGTGGATACATATAATATAACTCCCGTGTCATTTATGGTCGGTTATATCTAAAAAGAAGGGTATACTAAAAGGATGAAAAATAAAATTGAGCTGCGTCATTCTTTTGCGTAGTGCGTTGACAATATGTTGTCAAATTTCTTAATTTGTGCAACGGGAAGCGGAAATGTTTAAAAATCATGTAAGTGTCGTTAATATTACAAAAATATTATGTTTTTTACTACAAACTTATTTAAATCTTTTTAGGATTAAGCCATACACATGTATGTCCGATAAATTCGTTTGAAAGGTAAGTTTGCGCTAAATTAAAAAATTAAATATGTAATAACGAAAATATTTTTTGTACCATAGATGGACGCAAAACAGCCGATTTTCTGCAAATACTCCACATAAATGATAAACAAAAACTTTCGAATTTAATATTTTTAATGTGCTTATCTCTTATGTTCAAAAAATAAGATATTTTATAAAAAAAAAAAAAAAATATATATATATATATTGTTTTTCATATGAATTTGGGGATGAAATTTTGAACATTGGCATATATGATTTCCCTAAGGGCGATCCTTGAGGAAAACCCCGCTTCCACTTCCGCTTCGAATTCCTCTATGCCTTATACGAATTTTTTCCATACAAAATTCGTATAAGGCACCGAGGAATCGTTCGATGAAACGGCCAAAAAGTTCATCGAGAGCTGCACCTATGAAGAAAACTTGAATCCCATACAAAATTCCTCGCGCAATTCCTCGGTGCGGGCATACCTTCGTACCCCGGTTCCTTGGTGCTTCCTCGCGGATTTCATATAGGAAAAAGCTATTTTGGAACTGCAGGGGAGGAGATCGCAAGAAGTAACGGAATCTTCTTGCGCTTTTCCTTCTACACTTTGGGCATTTGCTTGTACACGCGAACACGACGCTTTACTTCTCCTTTGACAACGAGTGCGTGCGGTTTAACATTAAAAAGTGTCTGCTTATTTTATCTTGTTGCGGGTTTGGATAATACTTTATTGTATTATACTTTTTAATAAATACAATAAAACCAATAATGCAGCTAGATAGATATTTTAATAACAAATTCAGAGAGGTATTCCACTTTTAAATCGGGTAAAAATTTCAAAAGTTTGGGCTAAGCAGTGCTGGGATCTGGTCACTTTTCTGCAAACCCATTTTTTGCAAATTTTGACAGGTCGGGGGTCATAAAAAATGACGAAACATTGACCAAAAATTCGAAAATAAACCAATGATGTAGCTAGATAGATATTTTAATAACAAATTCAGAGAGGTATTCCACTTTTAAATCGGGTAAAAATTTCAAAAGTTATGGGCTAAGCAGTGCTGGGATCTGGTCACTTTTCTGGAAACCCTTTTTTTGCAAATTTTGACAGGTCGGGGGTCATAAAACATTACAAAATATTTACCAAAAATTCGAAAATAAACCAATAATGCAGCTAGATAGATATTTTAATAACAAATTCAGAGAGGTATTCCACTTTTAAATCGGGTAAAAATTTCAAAAGTTTGGGCTAAGCAGTGCTGGGATCTGGTCACTTTTCTGCAAACCCATTTTTTGCAAATTTTGACAGGTCGGGGGTCATAAAAAACTACAAAATATTGACCAAAAATTCGAAAATAAACCAATAATGCAGCTAGATAGATATTTTAACAACAAATTCAGAGAGGTATTCCACTTTTAAATCGGGTAAAAATTTCAAAAGTTTGGGCTAAGCAGTGCTGGGATCTGGTCACTTTTCTGCAAACCCATTTTTTGCAAATTTTGACAGGTCGGGGGTCATAAAAAATGACGAAACATTGACCAAAAATTCGAAAATAAACCAATGATGTAGCTAGATAGATATTTTAATAACAAATTCAGAGAGGTATTCCACTTTTAAATCGGGTAAAAATTTCAAAAGTTATGGGCTAAGCAGTGCTGGGATCTGGTCACTTTTCTGCAAACCCATTTTTTTGCAAATTTTGACAGGTCGGGGGTCATAAAAAATTACAAAATATTGACCAAAAATTCGAAAATAAACCAATAATGCAGCTAGATAGATATTTTAATAACAAATTCAGAGAGGTATTCCTCTTTTAAATCGGGTAAAAATTTCAAAAGTTTGGGCTAAGCAGTACTGGGATCTGGTCACTTTTCTGCAAACCCATTTTTTGCAAATTTTGACAGGTCGGGGGTCATAAAAAATTACAAAATATTGACCAAAAATTCGAAAATAAACCAATAATGCTGCTAGATAGATATTCAAATAACAAATTCAAGAGGTATTCCACTTTTAAATCGGGTAAAAATTTCAAAAGTTATGGGCTAAGCAGTGCTGGGATCTGGTCACTTTTCTGCAAACCCATTTTTTGCAAATTTTGACAGGTCGGGGGTCATAAAAAATTACAAAATATTGACCAAAAATTCGAAAATAAACCAATAATGCAGCTAGATAGATATTTTAATAACAAATTCAGAGAGGCATTCCACTTTTAAATGGGGTAAAAATTTCAAAAGTTATGGGCTAAGCAGTGCTGGGATCTGGTCTCTTTTCTGCAAACCCATTTTTTTGCAAATTTTGACAGGTCGGGGGTCATAAAAAATTACAAAATATTGACCAAAAATTCGAAAATAAACCAATAATGCAGCTAGATAGATATTTTAACAACAAATTCAGAGAGGTATTCCACTTTTAAATCGGGTAAAAAT